TATTTATAATTAAAAAGTTGAATGCATTTAAAGACTTATAATACAGGAGGGCTAAAGAGTCTTTTGGTACATTAAAACTGTACAGGCTAGAACCGTCACTATCTGCCGCGCCGAGGCGCCGGTGGCCCGGGGTGGAGATGGTACAAGCTCAGCACCATGTGGTTCGTTTAAAGGACAAGGGGTAACTTCACAGGGGCGTCCCTCTCCCCTGAGCATCGGCCTCCAGTCTCTGGTACGCAGCCGGTACCAGGGCGGATAGTTTCCAATCTGTCTTTGTCTTAAGCGTCTCCGCACCGGAGCCTGGGCCGTCGCTGCCGGCCGAGCCGGGCCCCACTCTGCGTCCTAGCAATCTGTAGTGCGAGTTGGTAGTTGCAAAGATCAGTGCGTCTCTTGGAGTTTTTTTTGTTTTAAGTGCAAGGATGTTGCATCGTTGCGTGGTTCTCCTCCGGTGTCCCCTCCGGCTGGGTGCAACCCTGGTGTGGCGGCGGTGGTGCCATGGGTCCGGTGTGTGCCCAGCTGGAGCAAGACGGTGGGTCAGCTCCGCAGAGGGAGGGAGGAGGCGATGGTGGCGGCTCTCCGGGAGCCGTTGGGAGGTTGGCCGGCTGGATGGAGCAAGCTGAATGGTCCCTTCCCCGAGCCCAAGGTGGCAGTGGGGCTCTGGCTGTGGAAACGCCACAGGCAGGCATGGCCAGGCTTCACTCTCTATCCCCATTCCCTTCAAATGAGGGGCGGGGGCTTCCCAGCAGCTCCACATCTCTGCTCAGGCAAGGCATGGGGCGTAAAGCTGGGCGAGGGATGCCAAAATCCAACGGCCTGTGGTCTCTGCTCCAAGCATCGAGCAGCAGCTTTTCCCAGTCACTTCCTGCCCCCCTTCACTGCACGCTCCAAGACGAGTTCTTTGTTCACCAAGTGTCACCCCCTGGCCATGCGCTTGCTCCCCCCAGCGCCTTTCCAGGGCAGGAGGGATGTAGAGGGATGGGGAAGGCGGGTTCAGACCGTTTGTTCGAGGCAGTGGGAAGGCAGCATCCCAGACTGGATGTTGGCTCGTCTTCCATCCGGCTCCTCCCAGCCTGGAGGACCTCTTCTGCCATCTCCGTGCTGGGGCCGGCTCTGCCCCTTCGTGCTCCACATTGCCGGCCAGGGGCCTCCAGGGAAAGGGAACTGCAAAAAGGCGCTGAGAGGATCGAGACGAGGCGCTGAGAGAGACTCATCTCCTTTCTCTTTCACCCTGTCCTTCCTAAAGGGTCATGCGAAACTAAGTAGGAAAGGGAATATATGGAGGGAGAGGAGCGTACGCAGAAGGCTCGCGGGTGTCCTTCCACGTACAGGAGGCTTCTGTGTTACTGATGGGGCAAATGACACAAAAGGGATCCCTCCTGCTGGGGGGTCCCGCTGGTGAAATGATCACGGGACCCATGTGCTTTCCTGGACCAAAAGGAGGAAGGGAGAAGTTGGTCAAGTGTCACCTTACTTAAAGCCACTTCCAGAAGAGCCTTGGGGTTCAAGCACCACCACCACCCCCCCAACGGTATCTTCCTCAAGTCCTGTAACTGCTTCCCCAACCCCCTTCTTCAGCCCTCTCCTTCCTCCTCGTGTCTCTCGCGCTCTCCTGTCTGTAGCGTGACACAGAAGTCATGAGCATTGAAAGAAACAATCATGTCGTCTGAACAGGCACGTCCTCAGGTTTGTCCCGTCTCTTCCCAGGGGGTGGCACGTGTCCCCTGGGCGGTCAGCAGATGACAGGGACCCCGTCGGTGTTGAAGATCATGCCCGTAGTGGGCTCGTAGGTCCCTGCAAGGTAGTAGAGGTCCTCACTGTCTTGGTATTTCTTCGTCTTTAGCATCTGCTCATATTGATCCAGACCAACAACAAGACACTTGTGTGAGATGGTCTGGACATCGTTTTCATCCACGTGTGAGGACTGGTAGAGGGCTCGCTGCATTACAGGAACGGAAGGAGGGAGATGGAAAGAAAAGGAGCCATTAGATCTCACAGCATTTACAGCATCATCTTCAATACGCAGGAAAAATATCCATCACGACTGGCCAGGGCTTGTGCTCACACTCAGGCAGAACTCCCCGCTCATCCCCACTGCCAGTTCAGGGGAGGGACAGTGGGAATCTGCATGGCCCCACAGGCAGCGTGGACACAATCCGTCCAGCGCACTAAACCTGAGCCCTCACTCTCACTCAGCTCCCACCGATGGGAACACCGCAGCAGCCGAGCGCACGGACAGGGGAATATGGAGGCCGGGAGTTTGTCACCCTCACTTCAAGGATGCAAATGCAAAGATGGGTGCTGGATACCAGCCCTCTGTTCCTCCCAACACCCAGCACACCTGCAGCTACTCCCACCCTCCCAGAAACACCCATCCAAAGTCCTGGGCACTGTGGACTCAGCAGCTGAGGCAAAAAGCAAGAGCCAGAGAAGCTCGGGGGGCATTTCTCCAGCAGCATTTGTTACGGCGTCCCCAGCATCCCCTCCCAGCCCTCCGCCAACCTCACCAACCTCCATAAAGTCCTTCCTCTGGTTGGATGCCTGCAAAGCTGTGGACAGACTCCTGCCTGATTTCTGATCCCAGCGCTGTGCCCAAGAGGAAGAGAAAAGAGAAAACAGAAATGAAAAGCAGGTGAATTAGTTGTTTTTCCATGCTATCACCTCCTGCCCACCACGTGTGCCTTCACAACCTCAACCCCCATCCACAGCTACTGGTAATAAATACTAAGAGCCTACTGTAAACCACACTGCACACGTGTGCAAAATTCGGTGTTTCTGAGCACCAGGCCAGTCGTTTTTACACTGTAAAAAGACTCAATACAGCTCTTGACACTCTTTTTGGACCAAGACAGAAGTCTTTATCTCCTCGTATGATAAAACCCACCCTTCCCCTGCTCAAGGGGTAAACACCAGGCTTGTACACATCACAGGCAGCCCCCACAACATGTTATGATGGTGCCACCCCCATTACGGTACGAGTAACAAACTGGGCCACGGCTGTTTTCCTCATCCTTGGAAACAAAAGGGAACAAGCAGCATTGCAGCCCTCTCGGCAAAGGAGACCAGCCTACCTTGCCTTCGTTGAGTTTCTTCCCAGGGTTGGTTTCTTCTGGGTGATAAAACCATTTGACTCGGACCACCATGTTGTTCCCCCACGACTCCCACATGCTCTGGATCCGGCCAATGTAGGGCAGGTTGGGGCGGCCGGCTGAGAGGAAGACCGCACAGTCTCCGATGCGGATTATCTCCTTGCCCCGGACAATGGCCTTGTAGAAGAGCTTCCTGGCCTTCCCTTTCATTCCTCGTCTCTGCCAAGAGAGGATCACACAGGTGAGCAGCCAGGGATTGCCCAAGTTTCCCCCACCCACCACTGCTTGCCCTGTCCCGCATCCCACTCTTCGCCATCGGCAGAGCCACAGTGTCCACAGGCATTCCCACAGGAAACAGGGCAGAGGGACACGCCATGCAGGATGGCTCCCCCAGACACAGCGAAGGCCAACCCCAATCTCCTTGCAAACTGGAGACCTTGGCTGGGGACACACCATACCAGCGGAGTTTCACCACCCCAGGAGAAGGGAAAGGGCATGGGTAAGAGGCACCACAAGGCAAACGCCAAGCACAGAGCACTATGGAGCGGTGGGAGAGGCCCTGTTTACCTGTGTGGGTTTCCCAAACCACTTCCACAGCTGCCGTGCGGGGAGGAAAGCAGCAATCTTGGGCCTGTTCTCCACCGACGGCAGTCGCTGGCGCTTGGCCAGCTCCTTGGTGGTGGGCAGGTGGATGCCCTCGCGCTTTTTGGGCCTGCTCTTGTTGCCGCTCTGCTGCGGTGCCGGCTGTTGCACCGGCTGCTGCGCCGGCTGTTTCTGGCTCTGGGGGTGGGAGGACGTACGGGATTTCCCTGCCTGCTTGGTTTGCTTGGGTGGGAGGGTTTGCTGCACCGAGGAACTTGGCTGGGCCTCAGCTACTTCGTCATCAGAGCTACAGGAGGAGTCTTCATCTGTAGTGGAGGAGGAAGAAGAGCTGGAGCTCGATGAAGAAGAGGTCGATGAGGCTGAGGAAGAGGAGGAAGAGGAGGATGAAGAGGAGCTGCTGCTAGAAGAGGAAGAGGAGGAGGAGTTGGAGGAAGAGAGAGGGGTGGATGCTCTCGAGCTGGCCGAGCTGCTGTCCTGGGCTTCCCCTCGGTTCTTCTCAGCCTCCTCTTCTCCCTCTGACTCTGAGCTGCTGTCGCTGCTGTTGCTCTCAGACTCCTCCACGGCTGCTGGAGCTGCTGCCTTTTCTTCCTGGTCCTTCGAAGCAGTGAGGCTCTCCACTGAGCCATCGAATTTTCCTCCGAAGCTGGCAGGGGAAGGGTCTCCCTCAGCTGCTTTGGCTCGGGAAGATTTCTGCTTGCCCTCCGCACCCACTGCAGGGGAATAGCCCAGCCCCAAGAGACTCTTGCCGTCTCTGCGACTGGCCAGGTTCGAGTCCTCCAGCATCCTCATCGCCTCCTTCATCTTCTTCGTCTTTGGAGACATCACGCCCTCATGGTCCAGCTTGATCAGGATTTCGTTGTCATGCTTCCTCTGAGCCTTGACCATGGTGCCAAACTCCTGCGTCTCTTCTGTGGGCCGCCCTTTCTTGGTCTTGGCTTTCGACGCTGAAGCATCGCTGGAGCCGAAGGTTGCCAGCGACCCCGGGAGATCACTGTAGGGCTCCGTGCCGAGGATGCTGCCGAACACAGCAGGCTGGTAAGTGGGTTGTGGGGGGGTATGCAGCTTAGTGGAGATTTTCATTTTGCTGGCTTTTGACCGCTTTTCCTCTGTGGGGGCAGGAGAGCCTCCAGTTGACAGCGGTTGTGATTTTCGCGACCCCTTCATGCTTGGCTTGCCCAAGCAGGCTGGCTTCTCTGGGACTGAAGAGGTAACAGGTGCAGACTCAACCTGATCCTTCTCTTCTGGCAATGCAGCCTCTTCTGCAGAGGGGAGGAAACACAAAGGCATGATGGGCACTATTAGCTCAGACACAACCAGACACCAGTGCTGACCGGTCTCTGGCCAAGGGTGGCTTCTTCCTGACTGCTTAGGTAACCCCAAAGAGGCACAGGTCCTCATTGCTCACTGAACAGCCTTACTAAGCAGCCTGGCCTGATGCCAGCGCCTGCGAGCAGCTGATGGACAACGCCCAGCGATGCTGCTTCAACTGCAGGGGAACCAAACTGCAGATTTCCTGCATCTTTGGCCCTACTGATGGCTGCTGAGATGCTCAGCTGAAAAAGGGACCCTGCCCTGCAGCCTTGACTGACAGGAGGCGGCTCTCGCAGCACAGGCCAGCTTCTGAGCCAGCCTCCTGCAAACTGCAGCCACAGCAGAGCGAGCTGATGCGTGGATGCTCTGCACTCAAGCAGTGCATCCATTCCCCTCCAAATCTTGCCCCAGGCAACAGCTCTAACTTGAGGAGAGCGGTGGGGAACTGTGTAAGGACTCTCCCAACTCCAGGTCTGGCAGTGGTGACAACCTACCAGCCTTTGCCTTGACGCTTGGCTTTCTCCCTCGCCCCTTGCCCTTTGACACAGGCTCCTCTGACCCCAGTGTAGCTCCCTCTTTTCCTTCTCCAGTGTCTTTGCTGGATTTACGGCTACGGCGCTTGGTGCTGGGCACCAAAAGGGCCGGGGAAGGCTCAGCACCTGGAACAGGTCAAAGAGATGGTCAAATGCAGTCAAGTAACACATAAAACAGAGATGCGATACAGTGAACATATCCCTACCAATTCTGCAACAGGGACTGGGCCTTTTTCCCTATGGGTTATATCCCACCCCAGCTCTGCATGTCCATAATTGATGGTGCAATCTTTGTGATTGAAAGTCTGTGAACTTGTCCCAAAATCTCAAGAGGCAGGTGGCCTGAAACTCCCTACGTTTCATAGTGGGAAGTGTCATGCAAAAAACTGAACAGCAAGACTCACACTGGATCTTGTAGTCAGGTGGGAGAAGCCGAATGTGAGACAGTGGGATACGTCCCGTGTCCCCATCATCAAACTCTACTGTGATGAGATCACCATCTTCCTCCAGATCCAGGGCTCCTGTGAGTTGGGGGAGCAGAAGATGGGATTAGGGACAAACATCAGAGTACAAACCCCTTGTCAGGGAAGTGGGGACGTGGGGGAAGACAGGGATCTTGCACCAGCTCCAAACCATCCCATCCCCACCTTTCCTAGGCTGTGCAAGGAAGAGCACGTAAGGCTTGCTCTGCAACGGAAAGTCCCTGATAATACTAAACCAGCCCACCCAGTGTAAAATTTCCCAGTCAGCAGCACTGCTCCAGAACATACCAACCGTTCCAGTTTGACTTCCCACCTCTTTCCCCTATTTCTCTCTATTCTTGCAGAAATTCATTTCTGTTTTCACTGCAGTATCTCTTGGGGGTTTTTTTGACCTGCATTTTGTAACTACTCTTAGCAATCACAATCTGCTGCTTTTCACCTTCTCTCCAAGAGAAATAAGCTGTGTTCCCACCCTCTCTTCTTGCATCAGCATCACTAGTCTATAACTCGTAAGTAATTCCTCCCTTACGCACACGTACTGCCACCAAGAGCCCAAAAGCAAGACCAGCCATGGTAGAATTGTCCAGGGCTCTTCACTGGCTTTTTAATGGGACCAGATGGGGGAGTTGATGTCTCAGAGACAAAGCTATGAGTGTGCAGGTGATTTAGAAACCTCCACAGTCTCAGAAATCTTTGGTGCCTGGAGTTAATTCTGACTTTTTGAAGTGTGTTGAATTTCCCTGATATTTTAAGCTCCTAAATTGCTCAGACCTCTTCCTACGAGAGCACATCTCCTGGACCAACAGGACGTTACTAAACCAGCATCATGACTGAGTTGGGCATGACCCGGAGGAGAGGAATGGGCCAGGCTCTGACCTCCAGGAGAGTCACAGCAGACCTCAGGGCTTCCCCAGGCAAGCCTGACATCCCTCAGGACACATAGGACTGAGACATCCCTGGTCCACAGCGCAGAGCAGCCAGGGTGGCCTTACCGCGAACAACTGTCCCTGGGTAGAGGCAGCGGTACTGCTGACTCCAGTAGGCTGCAATCCTCGTGCCTTCGGGCAGGAATCGCACTGAAGGTGGTTTCACGTCGATGATCTGCTTGGGGCAAGAGGAAGGCAATTACTGACGTTCTTGGCACCAGCACAGACCACCCCACCACACCTGGCATGTAGCAAAGCAGCTCTGGAGAAGGCAAGGGACAGTTTTTCCCTGCTGGGAAATGGCCTCCTGTCTGCTCACAGGGCAGCGTGAAGGACTATCCCTCCTGGCACACAGGCCTAGTGCCCACTGCCAGTGGGGGAGCTCAGCCACGGGGCAGCAACCCCCATCAAGGGGAGCTCTGTCCAGACTGGCCACAGAAGCAGGACCAGGGCATCCCTGCAGCCCCAGCTGCGGGAGGAGGAGGCTTCCAGCTAGCCCCAAAACAGGGCTCAGGCACCAAGGACAGGCACCCTTTGGCCTCACATACCGCTTCCTGCAAGAGCTGCTCCAGGCAGTAAATGTGGGGACGGTTTCCCCTCTCGCCTTCCACCACCACGCGGTATCTGAAACACAAAGGCCCAGAAGACATCACCCCGATCAGCTGACATCCCCCTTCTGAGCCCTACCACCAGTTTATTTGAGAGCATTTAATGAAAGATAATTGGATTTTCCTCAGCGCTGATAAACCAGAGTGAACTCTCCTTCCCTCCCTGCCAGACTCTGTCAGTCTCTCTCCAGCCAGCTCTACACAACCCCCAAATCGGTCCCTGCATCAGCTCCATCCCCGTTCACCGGCAGAGCCCGGGTGGATACAGTAGCCCCTCAACTCACATGTCTGGTGAATGCACCGTCTTGACATGCCCGGCATAGAGCAGCTTGTCATCCATGGGGATGAGGACACGCAGACCGTCTTTCAGCTCATCCTTGTCAATTATGCAGGAGCGGGGAGCTGTGAGGTGTTGGAGCAAGATGGGGATTAGAGAGCACCTTACATGAAAAAGCGACCACAAGGAGAGAAGGAAACCTCATATTCCCAGCACCACCCTCCCTTAGGAAAAGGCCAGTAAGCCCTTTGCAGAAAAGGCACGCGCTCTCTGGCTAGCTCCTGGCAGAGGAAAATTTTGCCCTCTTGGTCATAATAAAAAGTCCTCCCTCTTGGTAATAATAATATACCAGGAAATGAAAATAGGGCAGCTCAGAGACTGGGCTTCATCTAGATGTCACACTGGGCCACTCTGATAAGGCTTGTTTTTGGCAAGCCAAATGGACTGGAAAAGTGGCATCTCCACCCCAAGGACTCATGGCTTTGGATGAGGAACATGTGAAAGTAGCACAGTCCTCCTCTGAACAGCCCTGGGAAACTTGCCCAGCTCCTCTGCCTGTACAATTAGCCCCTTGGCCCCTCCTGCCCTCACCTGGTGTGGGCGGTCGCTCAACCAGCATGCTCAGTGGGATGTTCTCATCCTCTGAGAAGCTGCTGTCTTGGTTGGGTTCAAAATCCTCCTCTGCTGCCATGCTCTCCATGAGCTTGCTGACAGCTCCTCCTTTCCCTCGGTTCTGCAGGAGAGCAAGCAGCACGTCAGCTGGATGACAACAGGCAACAGTCTGATCCCATCTCACCTTCCTCCAGCAACAAATAACCTGAGGATATTGGGACAAACTTGTCTCCATCCCCAGCAATGTTAATCACACAGAGAGTTAAGTGGGTGTACCCAAACTTGCTTTTTGGTTGAACAAAGACCTTTGTTTTTCTGGGTTTATCCCCAAGCAGCATTGACAGCTGACCAAAAGCTATTTCACACACCCTAGCCACATCTCACTCCTGGAGGTTAGGAGAGATGCTGCGGAGCAGACAGCTGTAGCTTTGCTCTGCATTCACCATCTCTCTGCACAGTGTTCCTGAGACCCTGTCTTCACTAAACAGGCAGGAGGCACTGTTCCTATTTCTTCTCAAAGCCCCACGATCCGTTTCTTGCTGTTACACACAGACCATAAGCATTACACTCAGAAATCATGTAAGAAGATGCAGTAATGTGTGTTGAGAGAAGACAGGCTAGAGCAATGGAGCAGAAACCAGTTGTGACCTGGCTCACCCAGTGCTGAGCAAGGCAACTCCATCACCATCTCTTTGGTCCTTGCTATCCATGAAGGCTCTCCCTCCACCCTGTGGTGGCCTTAGAGAAAATCCTGCCTGCTCATTAATTTGGGGGATGAAGGCAAACGAACGCCAGATGGTAGCAGCAGGTACTACCTGATAGTCATCCTTGGATTTTAGGCTTCTCAAACCAGCATTTTGCCTGTAACACACCCAGCAAAACCTGCATGTCTGTTTTCCCTCCCTCACACTGCAACAGTCCAGGAAAAGAGCAGGGCTCTGCCAGCCACCCTCCAGTTCACCCAGACTAGAACCAGCCCCTCACCTCTTTTTTCACCTCCTTGGCTTTCACCTTGGCTTTGCTCTTCTTGGTGGAGCCCAGGGCATTCGCCAGGCTGACACGAACATCAGATGGGGAGCTAGGGATGCCAGGAGGAGACATGGATGATGATGAGGAGCAGCAGGGTGTTTCTTTACCCTTCTTCCGCTGCTAAAAATAAAAAGAAAACACTCCCATCAGTAAAGAGAGGATTGGTAAAGATCTGGGCCCAGGGAGAGGGGAAAGGTGGAGCAAAGCAGGCTGTGCACAGGTAGGATGACGTTCACCCAGCAGTTAGTTCACTGATCACACCACATCCTACATCTCCCAGCTCTGCTTTCAAGCTTCACACATTTTGGGAAGAGCTTTCATTACCCTAGAGAGCAATTCCTGCCCATCAAACCTTCCCCCAAAGAGCTCCAAGACGATCCCAGCTGGCCTCATGTCACAACTAACTTGTCTAACTCTCCCCACAATCAGTGCTCCTCCATAACACCGCCATGAACTGAACCGGAGCCGGAGGGAGACGAGCTTTCAGCCAAGATGAAGAGCCAGCAACCCAGAGATCACTGCCACCACCAGCCAGGGACAGCCCTCAGAAGACACCATATAAAAGGTGAACAGCTTAAAGGCCAGCATGGGGGCCACAGCTCAGCAAGCAGATAAAGTCGTGCAGAGAGTGGGAGAGAGATTTCACAGATGTTTTAATGCAGGTCCACTCTGGCCAACCCAAGCAGGATGGATTTGGGACACGGAGGGTGACACAAGTAACCTGCCCTGTTCAAACACAACAGGCTTTTACTCCCTGCGAGTCAGATTCAAGCCTGACAGCTCCTCTGGGCGTACGTGGGGCTGGCAGGGGTGACAAGGGGCAACCAAACAGCACTGGGACAACTGCTGAAACAGGACTCAACTCTCCTCTGCCCTAGCAGAGTTAATCACCCTCCCCACCCCCTCAGCTCCCAAGGGTCCCACACCAATTCTGCCAGCGCATTCCTCACCTTGCTTAGCTCCTTCCTCTCCTTCCCCTTGCTGCCCTCCTTTTTGGGGCTCATGGGTGCCCCCTTGCCACAGCGCCCAGGCTTGGAGACAGGAGTGGAGCTGGCAGGCACTGCGGGGGTCAGCATTGCCGAGGACGTGGTGGCGTCGTGGAGGAAGATCCGCTCACTCCGGCGCCGGTTCCACAGGTCATCATCGCTGGCCTCCAGCCCAAACTCAAAGCTCAAGTCCTTGGGGGACTTGAATTTCTTCAGCTTGCGGCCTTTCTCAGACCCAAGCTTGGCCTTGTCAGCGCTCCCAGATCCGGAGTCAAGGCTGCTGGGGGCCTGGCTTGGTGGGATGCTGCTTGCCTCCAGTGGCCCCTTCTTTCCCCGCAGCAGCCCTGAAGGCGACTTCTTCCTGATCTTGATCTCACTCTCCGAGTCAGTGTATTCAAACTCCGTCCCTAGGTGCAAAGGATTTAACCATCACTCAAAGCTCTGGCTGAGCCAAGAAGGGTCCACGTCCTGCTGGAAGCTTTTGGGCTCCATGGGAGATGCCATGCCAGTTCAACAGAGCCCTTGGTGCTCCCCTTTCCAATCCTCGCATCCCTCAGATGTGCATTTCCACCCCGTAAAACACTGATTTCCCTGAAAATAAGTCTCCCCTGCCCCAAACCAGAGTCCACCTTCTCCCACAGCCAAAACCCTGCAGGGAAGCTCGTAGGACAAAACATCCTCTAACATTTGCCCCTCCACAAAAAGGAGTTCCTCAGCTGAAGCAAAGCATGAACCCCACATACTGAGCCTTCCTCCCCTCCTGGTAGGAGTCCTCTCCAGTCTCACCTTCAGTTTCAGAACGATCTCTTTAATGAATTGAATAAACCCAGTTTTCAGCTTATTTTTTCCCACTGGCCATCAGACACCACAGATCTTTTTATTGGCTCAGGTAATCACCTTAAAGTCAAGAGAGGTAAATGATCTTTTGTCTGGGGCAAATGGAAATCCCCTCACATTGGCCTTCTGATTAGCATCACAGGCACAGCAGTACCCAGACGCCTGAAATATTGTAGTAATGCCAAGATGTTCACCACCTTCAGTGTGTTCCCCAGAACCTGATAAAGGAGAGCAAGATCATACGTTTCCATGGGCAGAAGGGAAACTGAGGCAGCACCTACCCAGCAACATGGGCAGGAGGGTAGGTGTCCTGGTTTCGGCAGGAATAGAGTTAATTTCCTTTCTAGTAGCTGGTACAGTGTTTTGGATTTAGGATGAGAACAAAGTTGATAACGCACCGATGTTTTAGTTGTTGCTAGGTAATGCTTACACTAGCCAAGGACTTTTCAGCTGCCCATGCTCTACTGACTGAGAAGGCTGGAGGTGCACAAGAAGCTGGGAGGCGGCACAGCCAAACTGGCCAAAGGGACATTCCATACCATGTGACGTCATGCTCAGTACATAAACTGGGGAAAGCTGGCCGGGGGGGCTGCTGCTCGGGGACTGGCTGGGCATCGGTCGGCGGGTGGTGAGCAATTGTACTGTGCATCACTTGTTTTGTGTATTATTATTATTATATTATTATCATTTTATTTCAATTATTAAACTGTTTTTATCTCAACCCACGACTTTTTCTCACTTGTGCTCTTCCAATTCTCTCCCCCATCCCACCGGGTAGGGGGGAGTGAGCGAGCAGCTGCGTGGTGCTTAGTTGCCGTGCTTAGTTGCCGACTGAGATTAAACCACGACAGTAGGCAAAGCACTGTGGCTGCACAGGCGCTGTGCCATCAGAGGGATACAAACAGCCAGGAAGAAACTTGCCCGAGGTCATGCAGTAAGTCTATGTTGGAACAAGAGACACCGCCCAGATCTTCTAAATACACTTATTTCCCAGGGCACTGGACCTCATGGGATGGCACAGCACCTCTGAAGATGTGTAGAAACATCAGCAGAACCTGGTTCTCCCTCTCCAAAAAAGAGCATCAGCCAAAGGTCTCTCTTGTATCCTCCTCCAACCTGCTGTGGATCTGCCTTCTCTGCACTCTCATTTGCGTGACTCTGCCTTCAGACCAACAAGGTCTGAAATAAGGCCTCACCTGGCAGAATCTCTTCTCAAACCCAACAGTGAACGGCCCCTGCTGTGATAACCATTGCTTGCAGAAGACCCTCGAGAAAGGACATACAGGACCGAACAACATTCATGTGGGTAAATGAAAACATACGAGGCACGAGCATGGAGAGCATCTTCTCTCAGTCCTTCTCTCTCAAATATGCTCACTTTTCCTAGGTAAATTCAGTCTGCAGGAACCTGCTCTCATCTTCTAGCCAAACCTCTTCCCCTGAGACAGGGGGGCACGAGCAGGAAAAGAGCAAGCCTGTCAAAATCAAAGCTGGCAAGGCTCAAAAATGAAAAGCCCATTGGAAATTGCAACACCCCTTCTCCTCTCTCACTGCCGCATGAGACAATTTCTAGATGCTTCCAGTTTCAAGGAGGGCAGGTTACAAGACGATAAATTCTTAACAGAGGCTGTTGGAACAAGTTGGCAAAAGCCTAATATAGCATGGAAACAGTGCTAAAACAAGCCGGGCTCCCAAGGAAGACATAATTTTCCATTCTGAAGCATGCTATAAATTCCATTATCACTTAATAAATATTAATAGAGAATTTATAAATGGAGCCCATATAGATCTGTCTGACCGGGAACGATGTAACCAATGGGCACTTGTGCAGCAGGGCATGGGGAGAGGAAGCAATGAAACTGCCAATTATGTGTAACACACTGAAACTGAGACAGAGACGGGGACAGAAACGCAGGGTCTGGCACTGCAAACACATGAGTAGAGGAAGGAATGCTTGTTTCAAGTCTCGCTGGCCAGTTTCTATGAGGAAGCTGATGGGATGGGCTGATTGAAGGGGTTTTTCTTCTGCTTGGGTGTCTCTCTTTCTCTTGGGTATCTAAGATCAGCTGCACTTAGCACATGCTTCCTTCCCTAAAATGTAACAGCACTTCACTGCCTTCAGCACTCTGTCCAAGGGGACACGGTATCCCATCGCTTGCCTTTGCAGCATGACTGTTAAGGATTCGCCAGGTAGGAAAAGAGGAAACTTTGAGAAAGCCACAGGCAGCTGCCCCTAGGGAAGCCATGGCTGCAGCTGCTAAACCCGCCATACCTGTGACTGGTACTTGTTTTCTTGCCAGGCGATTCCCCCCACCTTCAGCATCAGGACCAAGCAGCCAAAAGCAAAGAAAGGGCAAGACAGTGTCTGGGTAACATCCTGCTCTCTTGCAGCACAGTAGGACCTCCTCAACCTTCTACCTTGCCCCCATGGCACCAACCCTAACCATGCAACTCACCCATCAAGCTCTGCCGCTCCTCCTTCTTCTTCGCCTTCTGCTTGGCCTCCAGCTGGATGATGGAAAGTGGAGGGGGAACGATGGGGCTAGGCATTGCGCTGGCGGCAAACCTTGCTAGAAGGCCCAGGCCGCTCTCGTCAAGGGCAGGCGATGAAAGCCTGTCAGTGCCATCCGTCCCATAGTCCTCTGCTTCCTCCTCTTCCTCTTCGTCCTCCTCTTCCTCTTCCTCTGAGCTAGAATCTAGCACGCAGAAAAGAGGGAGCCCATTACAAATCTCATGGAGTTGTGCATCAGCCACATTTCCACCCCAAACCGATAACTCTCCTGCTGCTCTGTGCTCACGTAAGTAGCACTGAGCCACCCATGAGCTGAGCCAGAAGATGTTGGCCACGGACACACACGTGTCTTTGCAGCCATATAGCCGTTATCACCCTACGTACCACCACCCCTGAAGGACACAGCAATACAGGGTACGGCAAAGAGGACCCATTCAAGGCGAGGGAGGGAAGAGCAGGGTGTTGGCAGAGATTTGAAAAGGATGCCACGCACCCCTTCCCTGCAGCTTTCAGGAGGAATTAAAAGCTTAATTCCTTTGAAAATCCCAACCTCGGAGCTGTGGGATTCCCCTCCCGCCCACCACCTCTTCCTCCATAACGAAATCCATTAGCGTAATCAGAATCAGAGATCAGCATGGAAGGGGAATACCAGAGATCAGCCTGTGCCATGGTGGGAGGCAAGGAGGACACAGAGAGGAGAAGGGGCAGGAGGCAAAAATGCAAAGGTGGGGAGGGAAATAATAATTTGAAAGCAATGGATTTGGAATGCGTAAGGGGTGAAAGTGCAGGTAGTGTTGGAGAGAAGGAGGAGTGTTTAAACGCTCTGCCTCAAAACTCTCCATGCCTTTCATTTCCCTCTCTACAGCTCAGGCTAGGGAAGCCCAGCTCAGCAACAGGCAGGAAGAGCTGCCCACAGCCCAAAATTGAATTCTGGCAAAGAAATCAGCCTTGCTGCCTGCCTCGGCTGACACCCGCAGAGAGCAGAAGGCTGGGGTTTTCCTTTGCGGTGTGTATATACAGCAGGTATTTTGGGGGTAGATGCTCTGAGAGCGGCACCTCTCCCTTCCTACAGCACTTCCCAAGAGTCTGTCATCAGCTCAAAGGCAATTAACTTTAACAGCATCTCATCCAGTTAGTGCTGGTGAGCGAGAGTCACTACACAAATGCACATATACCACACACATACATATACACACACATATATGAGCACATAGAAATATATATATCTAACTGCAAAATGTGGGTCTGGAAAAGATATTTCATTTCTCTTGAAGTTGTGGGCTTAAGTAGGATCTTTAAGGTTGCTGGAAAATTTCCACCACTAGCAGGAGCCCTGCTCTCCCCGCCTGAGCCCACTCGCCAGCTCCCCGCCAGCCACTATCCCTGCGTCTGAAAGCCAGCCAAATGAGAAACCAGATCCCTCCAAAATGAGCTGGAATGAACATGAAAATCCTTTTCTTTTCACGTATGCCCTCTGGGATAGATAAAAACGTCCGCAACACTTGGTTGGTTTTTTTTAAAACAACCAGTAACACAAGTGTTATTTTTCCACTTCGGATTATTTTTCCGTGATATTAAAAAAAACAGGAATATCAGAAAACAGTGTTCTCATCCTTGCATTTTATCAGCTGAAGTAATGGCCAGCTATTGGTTTTATTTATTTTTGTTTAACAAGGAGAGCTTTTCTCCGTAGCATACATCAGATAGTCACAGAATACTAATTTCCAACTGCATAAAAATCCCTTCCCCATTTCAGTTGCTCGGGCCGGTTCCTTGTGATATAAAAATGCTACTAAACCTACAGTCCTGCAGTAAATACCAAGAAATCCACAGCCCTGCTCACTCCTTGCATAAAAACCACTTGCAAAAAAAAATCCACAGCAAATTAGGATCAGATTCCTTCCCCTACTAGAAAAGGGGGCACAAATGCTGTTTTTCTACAACGTTTTGCCAAAAAGAAAACAAATCCAGATGAACTCAGCTACTCTGAGACGCAGAAACCACCTGCCTGAAAAGCAGCAAAACCGTGCCTGAGTTCAATGACACACCATGGGGTATTGAGACCCCCTCCACACATCCCATTTGGCTTCAAAATTCAGTAATTCTCAGCAAAACCAGAAAAAATTTGAAAAAAATCAACCCGTACAGCCCCTCCTGCCAGACCTAGAGAGCCGGCCGAGCAGAGCGCAGCTCGCTGAGCAGCTGGGGAGGAAAACAGGCCAAAAAAGGGGAAAGTTTGCAGGAAAATCCCTCCGTGACCTGTCCTGTGCAAATCCCCCGCAGCACCCTTGGCTCAGCCGCACCGACTGCCCAGGGGTTGTGCCGAGCACGGGCAGCACCACTCCTTCGGCACTTAAAAGATTCTGCATGTGCGAGGGCACAAGGGTGCCCAGCAGCTACAGTATTTCAGATGCACCAAGGTAAAACAGATTTAAAAGCCAGGATGAAAGCAGCTATTACTCACGCTACAGAAAACGTACGATACAGTAACGTACCTGGCAGTTATTCTAACCTCTTTCAAATATACGGTGTCACACTATGGAAAGACAACTGAAGATAGTCTCTTGTCACCATTTTTACCAAAACACTTACATTTTTATCTGCATGAGATTCAATTTTCAGCCTGAAAATAAACACATTTTAACATACTCACAGCACAGATCTATCCTCCTCCACCTCTCATGGCGAGGGCAGATCTTGCTAACTCTTTACATGCACAGCACAATCCCTGCTCCTGATTTCCCAAGGGACAAAAACTAACAAATGAAACAAAAATAACACATTTTGGGCTCTGCTCTAAACCCACATGCTTCTAAACTAAGTCCCCAAATTTATGGTCATGGTGGCAAATAAGCTGCTGGTGCTCTATGGCCATCTGCACGGCTTCTTGGAGAGACTCATTATGCCTGTATTTAATGTGAAGCGGGAGTTTTACTCCTACTGTACCCAAATTATGTGTGGGCTTAAAATTAAGTATGCACAGATGCCTTAACACAACTGAAGCCTTAATTTTTTCTCCTGAAAAGGTGATTTTTAGTTAACAATGGGGAAAAAGACTTTAAAAAATCATGTCTTCCTTCAACAGTAATTCTGTTAACACTGAGCAAGGGTAAGGGAAAAAATATTCAAAGTTAAAAATATCTTTTCTAATTGACATTTTTAAGAGCATGTATATGTGTGTACATATATGTATGTACACGTGTACATACAACTCTACAGCCAAAACAAACAATAAATTCATATTTAAATGCTACTGATGCCAGATAAACTGGAGCCAAAGAAGATTTTTTCCTAAAATTTTCACCTGCATTAAATTGAAAACCAACCCAATTAAAAATACTAAACTTTCTCATTGCTTTTAACAGCTAAGCTGCCGTGGTATTTTACTGTAGGAGAGCAGTAAATGAAGATTTGTTAATGATGAACAGAAATTGGTTAAGCAATTTGGTTTTTAAAGACTGATGTAACAAGGCGGATTGAGGGAGATGTGTAGAGGAAAGGCTTGGGAAGGGGGGAGTAAAAACACACACTTAAAAGAGTCATTTCACATTGTAAAAAAAATAGCATGATTTTCTCATAACACCAAGCAGGCCTACAGCACACAAAGCAGGCTAAGTACAGGCAGACTTTAGACAGCTACTGGGTCATTGACATCTGATTTGTGTGATCTGTCCAAATTCTGGAGGTTACTTATTTTTGAATGTCCAATTTAAGATTGTACCTTTTTTTTTGTCAAACAAGCCAATTCTCATCATTGGAAGATTTCCCCCCCCGCCCCCCCATATGTGCTGTGCTGCCGACTCCAGAAGTACTTATGCAAAAATAAAAATATTACAACTATCACATGGGAATGACTGTGTAGGGAACTGGTTAACCCTCACTGTTTTTTTTTTCATTGGGATAAAATCATCCTCCAAGGCAGGGAAAGGAGAGCAGGGAAGAAGGTACTCATTTCTTAGTACCAATTTCTTAGTAATTTTTCAAGGAAAACAGAGTATAGAGGAGGAAGTATCGGTCTTCGGCTTCAGAAAGCTCATGGTATTACTTATCTGATGGTTTTCAAAGGTCCCATGTGGCTCTGGCCCACATTAGCAGTTTCCTCTCAAAGGTCACTGGATGAAAAACCACAAGCTTTGCCTGTTATCAGAATGGCAACGTGGTGTTTGGTCTGCAAGAAAGCAGCACGTCCCTACCTCTTGTATCTCAAACCAGATGAAAATAGGTCTTCCTGTAGCTACTCCTACCTCTGACATAGATACTGGCAGGACCATGGCCAGCCAATTACCCTGATACTAGGACAGTCTGCATCGTGGCCCAGAAACCTTTAAGCACAGTGGCAGAGCCTTTGCAGGCAGCGCCGTGGCTTCTCATCTTGGACCCATCTGCAAATCTTTCCCTTTGCTGGGTTAAGGGGTTCTCCAAAAGGTCTGCGAACAGTAAAGCATTTCTGGAGTCCTCAAACACAGACACACAAGCAAACCTTCCATGCAAGACTCTTCATGGACAGAGGAAAGTCAAAAGTGGACAGCAATCATCTTCAAAATTAAAATAACCAAGAGAATGCAAAGAGCTACGTGTCATTATTCATGGAGGTAACATCGAAACATCTGAGGCTGACAGATGACATAAAGAAAAGTTATTTTGCCTACCTACATAACAATGGTCAAGGTTCGGGTTCATGGCTAGTGACCCTCGCTGAGAAGTGTCTGCCCTACAACCAGCCAACCACTTTGCTTCTTTAGTGCAGCGTGAGAGCAAATGCAAGAGACCGACACAGACATTCAAAGCATCATGGATAGGGGCAGGGGTGAAAGGGTTGGTCAAGCAGCTGCAAGGAGAAAGCGAGCACTTCTAGAAAAGCTGAGGTTATTAATCGGTTTAGTATCAGGGAAAGCCATTAGAAACCCTATTACCCAAATATCCCTTCAAGTAATGCTTCTGAGAAAGAACAACCAAAAAAAAAAATCATTTGCAGAAAAAAAACAAAACTGTAACCAATAATCCCTCCCCGCCTCCCCCTCCATGCCCACCTCCCACCCCAGGAGGTTTTGCATCTTTGGTTTCCCCACCTTTAAATGACACCCCAGAGGGATTTACAATGCATTTCCCCATTTGTTCCAGATTCCCCAACCTCCTCCCATATCCCCTCCCCTCCCCAGACTTTATCCCATAAAACTGGGATTTTTTTTTTTTTTTTTTTTAAAGCAGACAGGTTACTTGAAAAATAGACAAAGCCAATTAGGGACAAGTTACCTATCTGCTTACCTTGGAGCAAAACCAAAAAGCAAACCCAAAAAACCCTCAAGAACTTGGCACCTAAAAGGGATTGATATCCTCAAAATTTCCAACAGCAGCAAAATAAACAAAGAAAAGAGGCAGGAAGGAACAGGGAAGGGAAGAATGGAAGTTAACGCAGACTCTTCATGGAAATGTGGCAATCTCACCCTTACATAAAATCCACTATCCCCAGGACTTTGTGGGTTCTCTAAAGAATTTATTTTTTTTTTAAAACATATATTTCTCTCTTTTGGGTTTTCTTTGAATGCATTGGTGGGTCCAACCCAGAGCCACATCAAACCAAATCAGCGTTCTGTATCTGTCTGTTGTGTTTGATAATTTTTTTTAGCTTAAATTATCTTTCTTTGGAGGTTGATTTGGAGGGAAGAAAAAACAAACAGGTGCATGGAGGAAATTAACATCAAAAAACTAAGAAAAAACAAAACAAAAGCAAAACTATCCAGCCCTGTTTTCAATTAACAGCCGTCTGAGCAGCATGAAATACTAAAAGGCTTTTGCTGTGCTACATCCAGATCTGCCGTGTAACTTAGATGATAACAACTGGGGATGCTCTTGCTTAGCATTCAGCCCAGACGAGCTACTTTCTTTTGGGAGCTGAGGGCTCATTAAAATGACCTTTCCCCATGATTATTATTTAATGAGTGCGCTCTAAAACAGAAACCCCTTGTGTCTCTGGAGGAAAAGTCTCAAGTAATCTCTTTTCCCACTGAAGTACTAATGACAGGCTGACAAAAAAAAAGCTGCAAGAAAAAAATTGGGGTGAGGGTGAGGGAGGGAAACCGCAGAGTCAAATTTAATGCAGTAATTGCCACATCCTTGAACACCGTGGGCTACAACTGGGCATCTGAAAAAAACTACCACCCAAAAAGAGTTGCAAAAACTTGCCGTATACATTTTAAAAAGTGAAAAAGAAAAATTTCTGGCTGTTAAATAATGGGGACCTTACACCCAGCACCCTCCTGCAGCAGCAACAAGGACCAAGTGCCTCCATGTTTTATCTGCCTGCCTCGAGAGAGACTATCAACAGACGAAATAAACTGAAAAAGAAAAAAACAAAACTGGGTGAACAAAATAAAAATTAAATTAAAGGGGTCAGGGGGAAAGGCCTAGCCTTTATCTGGACAAAGGCAGCAGGGATATTTGAATAATAGAGAGTATCCCAGACTAGGTTAATTCCAGTTCTACTCATGGGGAGTGGGAGCAGGAGGGGGATGCAGAGCAGGATGAAGTGAAGCGGCAACCTAATCGCCTGATAAGAGACACAGCAAGAGAGACAAGGTACACAGGTTTAGTTAAAAATGAACTCGATATGTTTAATAAAGCTTGGTATACCAAATCGCAGTACAAACATCAAGTCACACGGCCACACAACAGTATCCCGGTATTAAAAAAAAAAAGGAAAAAGAAAAAGGAAAAAGGAAAAAAAAAGGAAAGTAATTAAAAAAAAAAGCTCCTTCCAAACCTCTACAAGGCTCATGCCAAAATAAAATAATAAGAAATAAAATAATAATAATAATAGTAATAATAATAATAATA